ACCCTGAACTTCCCAGATATTTGGCCTCCCCCTGTATGAAGTGGAGACAGTCCCTCTCTCCTTGAGCTGTTGAACAACTAAATGAGGTATAAAGCACTTAGAATAGAGTAGGCACTCAATGCATAGTATCATGAAAATTCATTAATTCAGGTCATACAAAACTACATTTTTTTTGGCATATATCGTGGGCCAGCCTCAAGCTTGGTGCTGCATGATATTGTCTTAGTGTGTATCTTTTGAGACAGACAATTGTAGTCTAACCCTCAAATTTACCACTTACTAGTTGTAGAAATGTATTTAACTGCTTTGAACTGCCTGTGTAAAGTGAGGGACGGAATAATATGTATTTTAAGGGATTATTATAATTATTGTATAATCTATGTAAAGTACCTAGGATAGTATCTGGCATATACAAGGTCTCAAAAATGGCAGTGATTATGATTAATATGATCATCTGAAAGATTAAAAGGAGGAGATGCTGGTGGGTCAGATTTAAACCCAGAGATCAGAATAACTTTATTTTGGCATCAAATTCATCCTTGAACCAACTTCTTCTGTATTAAAGAAAATGTTAGCTGAAAATATTTAAAAAAATAAAATATAAGCTGTTATTTCCCCTTATATACATTCATCCATCACTCCCTAAATGCCTAAATGAGAGAGATTTCTTTTGGTTTTAAAGATGGACATGGTAAAATACTAGAATGGGCCAGAAAGGATGGTTCTGTAATCTGCTCTTTCAGGAAAATGTCATCAATTATCCAGGTGCACATGCCCTAATGTCCCTGGGGAATTCCTTGTTTAGGGTCTCTGTGTCTCCAACTGCCTTACCTTAGAGCAGTAGTTCTCAACCTTCCTAATGCCGCGACCCCTTAATACAAGGTCACGACCCACAGGTTGAGAACTGCTACCTTAGAGCAAATGTAAACTTGAACTGTGTCCAGTGGAGATCTTGGCTTAGGTCTGCCCTGCTAGCTGTCAACCTTCCTCCAGCCTCTTCCTTTCTCCTTGCTTCCTGGTCCTGCCTCTCCAGCCAGCCCCAGCAGTTCTAAGTGTTTGCTGGCCTTCCCTCCTGCAGGGAGGACAAGCATTCACTATGATCTCCGGCCACGCCCACAACTCAGAGAAGGCCTGATCAGTGTATACACAAACCCCTCCCTGGCTGGCTGCTCTTTTCTTGGAAAGGCATTCACTAGTCCACGGACAGGGCCTGAACATTAACAACAAACATGGACTCAGGGTCCAATCAGGAACTTAAAATTGTGACCCTTTTCAGGCCAGCCTTCCTTCTCTTTCCAGTGCTGGTGCCTTACCCTCACTGAGTGTTTCCCACATGCTTAACCCTCCTGCCACACTCCAGGGAGTGTCACACTCCAGCAGGCGGGCTGCTTGGTGCTGCATGTGGGTCTGGAGTTCCTATGCCTCTGTGGAATAGGAATACACTGACAGTGATGATAGCTAAGTTTTACTTTCACCTCTTGCACAGGTGCTCATACAGCACTTACCAAGGGTAGGCACTGTTCCAGATCTTGGGGGTCAGCAGAGAACAGGACATTAGAGTCCCTGCCCTCACAGAGCTCACATTCTGAAAAGGGAGAAGTAATAAATACATAGGGAATGTCATTCAAAAGTCCACATCAGGGCCAGGGGCACGTGAGTGACGGGAGGGGCTACGTTAGCTACTGTGGTGGGGAAGACTTTTCTGGACTTAAGCA